TCTACTTTATAACTTCTATTAATCCTTTCGCATCGGGGCTTAGGTTGCCTTAATGAAAAATCCCTCCTCTACGACCAGCCCGTCGTCTCTGCCCGTTTCCATTTTTTTCGTGTCCACGTGTATGGGATTTGAGTAGCGATGGTCATTCGATTATCTTTATTGGAAACGGTACAGTCGTAGAAATATCGAAACCGGAGTCCAAGTTGTGTATGTTAGAACACTTCTAATAATTTTAAATTACCTAATGATATTAACTCTTGATACTATAATTGTTTGCTTAGTTTGTTCTCAGCCAATTCTGATTTCATATTTTTCATTTCTATATCTTATTTTGAATATAAAGAAATTACTCGCAATTAACTCAAGCTTAGTATTTATTCACGAAACAATTGCTCGGATATACTCTACCGTTATGTGTATTTTTTTAATCCTTGATACTTCTTAAAACGATCTCCTGCGTATAAAAATGGCTTCCTTTCACAAGTTTTATAATATTACTCTCGTAAACAGATATCAAACCTTCACATACAAAAATGAACACTATCTTTCTAAATATTTTAGATAATTTCAGAATATCAGTTATATGTATGTATTCAATTCGATCTGATTATGGTTAAACATGTTGTAAGAAATACTAATATTATTACGATGAGAATTGTATAATACCAAACTTTTACGTACATTACATGTACTTAAAGCATTTTTCGAATAAAACTGTGACTCACAATCAGTGATTAGAAATAGCTTTTATATCGACCGTATAAAGAGTCGTATTAGAGAATACTTCAGAGGTTATTATCGTGCGAGAGAAAACAAAGGTTTCTTCAGGAATTTTTGTTTTACATAACAAATAATTGTGAAACATCAATCTTTTCAGATATAATACTAGATGTGTTAACCTAATAAAGAAAATTTGTGTTGTTTATTATTAATAATTATGTTTATTGCCATAGTCACCTGATATTTATCCAAAGGCAAAAAATCAAATCAATTATTAAAATATAGTTTCTTCGGTATCGTTTGTACTAGGAACACCTCTAATTGAGAAACAAAAACGAAATGGTAGACGTTTGAATTTTTTTAACACTTTGAAAACGTATGATAAAGATAAATAGCTTTTTGAGACGTTTTAGATTTCATAATGTAAAGAGTTAAACACATACCCTCAAGTGTTCCAATATTTGCTTTCCTGTGTAAAAAACTGTCTATATTTTTGTTGTTCCAAAAATTAAATTCAGAAACAACTTCGTTTTTTACTTTCGTTACACTTAATTTCCCAAATCATAAGAAAAAACTGATGACACATTCCTTCGCATAGCAAAACTTCAGTCAACTTCTACAATTCGACGAAGCTGTTCATGAGCCCAGTATAAAGAGACATGTACTTTATTCTATCGACGATCGCTCAATTTGAATACATACCGGATGTCAATGCTTCAAATCTGATTTGCCGCTAGGTTGTCATTTGAAGGGTGCTTCAATACTGCAATGGCTCCAGAATGAGAGATATTTTTAAAAATTGTTTATAAGGATGCTGTACTGTGAGTTGTTTTGAAAATGTCATTATGTTGTTTTGAGCACTTGAACAAACGATTCACCCGAAAATCCGGATAAAATATAAGGAATGGTTTAATTTGTATGAAATTTCGTACACCAGGGTTTTTCGGTCCGATAATTACGAATCTAAAATCAAAATTTAAAAAATCAAAATGGCGGGACATAATGCCAATAGTGACTGGATTTAGATGAAACTTGTATACAGGCGTTTTTCAATTCACTAATTACGGATTTGAAACGCTGCAGCGTTTGAAAAACACATTATGGTTTGATTCCTAGCTTTGTGACCATAGAGTATATTTGAAATTAAAAAACTAAAAAATTTTCATAAACGAAAGATCCATGGCTATCTCCTGATTTGGAAAAAATTTAATATCTTAATAAATTAGAAAATGTCACCTCTTTGAAAAAAACTTATTACTTTCATGGAACATATTAACTATTTATTGAAAAAAAAGAAAAAATCAATTTGAATTCAATTTTATCAATTGACTGGGTCAAGGTATAGAGACAAGTTTTTTGAAAAGAATATGAGTTGGGTCATATTGAGCGGAAGTATAGCTTTCTGTAAGCTGTCAGCCAGGTTAGACAACGTGGCTTAGATATAAACGTGTTTAAAGTTTGAGTAGCCTTCGATCGAACGCCTAACACACTCAATGTTCCACACTTAAGGCTGTAACTGCAGCAGTTCTAATGATTTCTTTCTCAAAATTTGACACAACATTCTTGAAATGTGCATCTTTCGAGAAATGCAACAATTTTAGAAAGAAAGTGTACAATGGTGTGACCTCTTGACTCATGCATACATGAACAATTTTATACTAAATAAAATTAAAAATATATTTTCTTATGTGTTTACTGTTAAAAAATTACTACTTTATAATAAAAGTTAAAAAGTCATGTAAGACATAATTAATAAAACTATTCCTTGAAAAATAGTATCTTTTATGTGTTTATGTACAGCTCAATAATTAATTCTCTATTATAATAATTTTCAATAAAAATGTCCTAACGGAGATATAATACAATATAATATCCTAATAGAGAATTCATTATTGAATAATTTTAAAATGAAGTTCACTTCATGAAACCGCCGCTGGCTTGGCGGTTTCAGCGTTTAGAAAACATCTCAAAAACACATCCTCTCATCAACACAATTCGAGGTTATTGAAATAGACAAGAATTTTAAATAATTACCAAATGAACATTTATATCATCTAGGTGCAAGACTGTACATCTAAAAGGAGACGAAAAGGTTTGGAAAAAGGTCCCAGGACGACGCAAAACCGTGCGAACTCGAATTGAAATTCACCACGGCGGTGTTCGCAAGCCTTCCGAGCGGAGGCCCCGAAACTCGTTCCAAGAAACAGAAACAAATTCGAAGTCGAGATGCGTACTCGAAAAGCGACGACCGGGAACAACGCCGCTCACGAGACTCGTCCCTCGACGAAAGAACAGAAGCAGCTTTTCATGGCATCGAGAACGCGGAAAACCAGCTAACGACTCGACAATTCGCCCTTATTCACCAATCTTGGCCTCGGTTCTCGAACTACTGTTTACCCGAGCGTATCGAGCATGACTGGAGTGCGACACGAATAACTGAGTAGTTGAGTTCTGCTTGTCGCGGTTCTATAATATTATCAGAGCATTGTGCCCGACTAATTAGCTCTACTAACGCAATCTTGGCTGATTACGCATTCTAGTCGACGGTTTTCGAGCCACTGCTCCCACAGAAACGACGCGACATCTCGACGCGTCTCTTCCGAGCACCGTAATCGCGCGGTATTCTCAAAAAAGAAACGGGTTGAATGCTGAGCAAAAGATATCTGCTGAAAGCATTTATTTTAACCAGCTTTGAAGAGGAGGTTACTCAATTCGACATATACAGGGTGTCCCAAAAATCTTGTAACACCTTGAAAGGGGTAGTTCGGGAGGTGATTTGGAACAACTTTTTACTTAGCGAAGATGTTGTCCGAGAGTTCGTTAAGGAGATATTAACAGAAAACCCCGACCAATCAGAGCGCGCGTATACTGTTGGAGCGCCCGCGGTAACGAAGGCTACGCGTTAGACAGCTGCAGTAGTATAGGCTACGGGCTACAGCTGGACAGCCGCAGTAGCATAGGCTATGCGTTCGGTGGCCGCGCTCTGATTGGTCGTGGTTTTCAACATTTTTGGGACCCTGTACAGGGTGTACCAAAAATGTTGTAACACCTTGAAAGGGGTGGTTCGGGAGGTGATTTGAAACAACTTTTTACCTTAGCGAAAATGTTGTCCGAGGCTTCGTTAAAGAGATATTAACAAAAAATCCTGACCAATCGGAGCGCGCGTATACCGTTGGAGTGGCTATGGTAGCGAAGTCAACGCGCTAAGCGGACGCATCAATGTCCTTCGATGCACGTCGAGTCACTTTTTCGCGTATGAGCGCGGTCGCTTATTTATTTAAATTATGTAATAGTAATTAATGAAATAGTTAAAGAAAGTAAAATGTTTGGTGTAGCAACAAACAGACTTATAGCACTTTCGATAATAATAAATTATAAGAAGAATAAATAATATTAGATTTATATTTTTATCGAAGTTGATTGTTCTGCAATGTATTTGTATAAAACTTTTAAATATAAAAAGTAATAATTAAAATGAAGACATGGAAGAAGACGTAAACTTAACTTTATTGCTATATGAGGGAAGCAGGTGGACAAGTGATATCACGAATGCTTTTGGTACTTCCTTTGATGTTCTCCCTTTTATGTCTTAATTCGAACTGAACTGAACAAGTCTATCGATTGAACGCCTCACGTTCGATAGTGTTTCGTTTACTATGTACGTACATACTTTATGTACATTTCTATAAATTTTATTAAGAAATATTCTAAATGATGTTATAGAAAACTTTGCAATCAAACAATTGCAAAATGTAAACTATTTCGTTAATAAGTAAGACTTTTCTTGCAAACTTTTAAACATTTGCAATCTTTATTTTAAATTTTGTTCTCAGAAGTCATCTTTTTACTTCTGCAGTAATATTTTTCCAATAATTCTTCCAATTATTACTTTCATAGTGTGAATGTAAATTGGTAGCATTATTTTCGTTTATTTTTAAATTTGATATTTCTACGATTTCCATTCTATTTTTAATTTGTATCGATGTTATGTTAATATCGTTGAAACTATTTTCTGGAAGGTTATTTTAGTCATTGATAATTATGAATGGCTTTATCTCACCATAAAAAGAAAAACATTTTTCCAGTGACATTGTACGGTTAAACTTCTTTCGACAAATTTATAAGTGTATTGTACATCGTTACCTGTATTATTATAAATATGAAAAACAAGACATGTATGTCTAATTAAGCTTGTGTTAACTTATTTATATTCAAATGTGAAGTTATACCATTTTCAACAAAATCGGTTTATTTATCTTCCGTACAATAAAACATTTATAAAGAGCACTCCTACTTTACTTCGAGAGTGATTCACATACATGCTGAGTATGCGCAAGATACATGCGTGATAAAGATTGTGTTCTTTACTAATATTAATGCGAGTACCTGAAGCTCTATTGTGTTGTAATTTTTTGTTATAGTTTCGACACTAAACATGATTAAAGACAGTAGCGGCATCACTGTTTCGATCAGGCTATCTTTTCTCGGTATTGGGCGTAGTTGTCCAGATTAACAATATCAAGAAGAGGAAAAGAACGATATGGGAAATCGGTGGAAAAAAGCGGTGCCGATAAATGGAGGACGAGAGCGAAATAAAGAATCGATCAATGGTACCGGTTGGCCATGCGACTTCCATTCCGTTCGGCAAATATTTGGTCAAAACTGACGTCAAAGTGGAAATCCACGGTCTCCGGGGTTCGGCCATTGTTTCGAGAAATTTGTAAAGATCGAACCCTGTCACAATGATGCCAGCGTGTAATCACCGGCTTTTTTTTCGTCCATTGAATATTTTTGGTGCGTCGCGCAATTCTTCGGCCAGCCCGATTCGAACTTTTCCAAGCCATCTGAAAAGCTGTGATCACCGATTGTCAGCGGATCGGTTCCGGACCGGTCGGAATGAAAAATAGATGAACGCATTGAACTCATCCCACCTACGCGAGATTTTTTAACAAAAACGGGAATCCAGCCGAACGTTTCGCTGCGTGGACGCTCGTTTTGAGAGAGGCTGAGTTACGTTGTGTTCTTTTCTTTTTTAATTACTTTCTAGGCCCCTTTCTTTTTGCTAGATTGTTAGGTAACGATTACATATAAATGTTCATAAACAAGCTATGTATAGACATTGTTCGTATAGAAATTAAAGAATTGTAATTTTTCAATCCTTTTGAGATTTATTTAGTTACAATTGTTTCTTCTGTGTTTGCTGTTTCGTTATTTCCTTTTCACTGGATTGTTAAGTAACGATTGGATATAAATGTTCATAGCATGTATATATACAAATTAAAGAATAGTAAATTTCTCAGTCTCAAACAAGCTATTTATTTACGGTTCAACGTAAAAATTTTTCAAATCGTATGTCGGCAGCCACAATGTGAATCAAACAATGTATCTGCAAAAGAAGAAATCAAACAAATTCGTAGAGCATATTAGTTTAATTAGTACCTATGCGAAAATTGCAAAAACTCTTTGTGCGTTAAATCAGGTTGGCAATCATTGACACTGAAAAGAACGATTCGTACATTTTTCATGTTGAAAATAGTTGAAATAAATTTTAATTAAATTCTTATTAATATGTTTCACTTTATTTCATCTACTTTTTTTATATGTATCGTTTAGATATCATTCATGTTTTATAATCTTCTGTTTTAAGTTAAAATTTTAGACTAAAACTATTAACTTATTTTTAAAATCTATGTTTCGCTAATGTAACAGTACCTACTTCCAAAAAAAGTTCGCAACTAAGAAAACAAACTTAAATTAAATTAAATTACGCGCCTTATTATATTACAGATCAGGAATTATTCTTTAATTTGCTCATATTGTTGAAATGTACACGCATTTTAAATTAATAGATCACCGAGCGAGGCGCCACAGGCGGAACGAGGCAGAAGCCAGATCGGTTGTGGCACATTACGGAATCTTGCAGCATCGTGCACGATATTAATGTGTTATATTTATACCATATATACACGATATTAATATTAATGTGTTTTTACATATATGCAGTGTGAACCTTTTATTTTATTTACCCAAAGTGAAATTGTCGAAATAGTTGTATCTTAAACAATAATCGAAAGAAATGAAATTCTTAATACATGTATACTTTCACAGTTATATTTTGTTTCTTATAGATATTGTAACTTCATTTCTCTTTAATTAATGTGTCTGTGGAGTGATAATTTATTGATTCAAAAACCAAACACTATTTCCTAACCTTAAAAATTACCTTTAACACAAACCTAAAATCTAACATTCCTTTGACTAAACTATAGCCGACTGAAGTTGTCCAAATATCATTGAAGATCGTGGCCAATGGTCAAGATGGATCTTTTCATCGGAACTTCGAAGCGATCAAAATGGATTCGCAACGGTATCTCTGGAAACTCTCACCACTGATATTATCTTCCCGTTGCTAGTTTCACGGGTCCGTGGCCGGGGATCTCCCGCTGTTTGCACAGTTACGCGCAAATCTTTGGTCTGGGCGCCGCGTCGGGTCCATATTAAAACACCCCTATGCGATCTACTGATGGTAACAAATAATAGCCGAGACGAGGGTCGAAGGGGGTCACCCCCGCCTGTGTCGCTCGTGCGCAGTTTCTCTCCTCCTTAGCTCATCTTTCGTCTCTTTTTTTCGCCGTGCTGCCCCTCTCGATCGTTCTCCATGGAGCAATTTATCTGCATTATACCCTCAGTTGACTACGGTGAGTGTTTTGACAGGAACAGCGTTATTAAATGCCCCGGATATCTGATCCTCGACACCCCTAATCTGTATAATAACCGTTTACCTTACGCGTGGACGGTCATCGCGCGTGCCAACTTTCACGTTGTCCGGTTGTTACCATTTTTCATCCTTTCCTTTTTTAGTTTTCAGCAAGATTTAATATAGCATGTCTTTCATTTACCCTGGTAACAAAGAGATTCGTGGACAAATAAAGAATACACATGATCTCAATTATTCAAAAGTAATCACTACAGTTGTACAGTTTTTAATATTTAATCAATATCACTGGGTTATGTTTAAACCAAAATGAGAAATTTCTGTTTTAAAAATTATGAAAATTCTCTTTTCTTATTCAAGATCTCCTTGATATGAAATCGATCAAATCATCTGTGTCCCATTTTATTCTGTTTTATTCAGTATAAAAACGTCCACTTTACCAAAGGAACAAGAAAAATACATAAATCCATAACGTATAATTTTCTAAAATACATAAATCCGTAATGTGCCACTGAAGTAAATTTGACATATAAGTTGTGTAGATGAACGAATGAAAAAGGACGCATATAGAGGAAACGTGTTATCAGACATTATCACAAAATTATCAGAAACAACTGAAGACGACTACACTTCGAAGAGAGAATGAAAAGAAAACAATACAAAGTATAATATTTATACATTATGGCTTAGTGAGTGCTTAACATAAACATTTGAAGCAGTCAATCACTCATTGAACTAGGTATTTCCCTTTTGTGTTAAGAGGTTGCAGGCTCGTCCAGGACGTTTAACCCTAGAATGTAAAGGTCACTGGTTAGTCTTTCAATGGAAAGATTGAGTAATTTTTACTTCTTTTCAAAATACCCAATACTTTACCTTTCTTTCATTAGTACATAAAGTATCAAGAAATAAGGTACCAACATGGTTAAAAATAACAATAAATTTTATATATAAGTCTTTAATAAATTGTAATGAAGTAACAAAATGTAATGCAAGGAGTAAAATTTACTCAATATTTAGATTCTAGGATTAAAACACTTAATGTTCCGTTTCCATAGCGCGATTCTATGTCTATGCGTGAAACTACGGGGTTCTAAGGTCCCCTACGTGGGTTAGTACGCCAAAATTCGGAAAGTCACACACCACTGAATTTTGTGTGACTGTTTAAGACTTTTTTTCACAAGGAGTTGTTAATGCTTGGAAATTTGTGAAGAATACTGACTTCCGTAATCGACATCGCGATTACCCTTTCCTGTCGCTACTTCCTGAAACGCAACCATAGGTCTTTTGTTTGATAGGTTTTAAAGTTAATTCTTGAGGGTAGCAAAACGTATTTGGTTCTTGAATCAATGAATTATCACTCCACAGACACTTCTTATATTAAATTGTGTATATTAATTAAAAAGAAATGAAATTACAATGTCTATAAGAAATGAAAAATATATAACTATGAAAGAATATATGAGCAAATTAAAGAAACACGTTTTATATATATTGCACGTGGTACACACAAGAAAAACGAAACAAGAACAGAAAGTATTATATATTCTTTCAGTAGGTGGCAGTCTAGCATGCAACTAATTTGTAATAAAATAAGGCGCGCGATTCAATAACTTCGAAATCATTCTTATATGTTTGTAATCATAATTGCATTAACAAGTTGACCACATTATCTAACATATATTGTAATAATTATTCTTTAACCTCATCAAATTCACGAATTTTATTCAGACTTATTTTCTGTAATACTTTACGATTAAAATACATGCTTCTAATTAACATGTTCATGTTCGAGATAGCATAATGAGATTAATAATTATAGGGTAAAGTATTAGACCTCTAATAAACTGTCGTTACAATTTTCAGTACTTAAAAAATAAAAGATAAAAATAAAGGGAGATATTTGAAACGAATTTGTGGAAGGAAAATTAAAAGTCTGCAAAATGCTAAAGTCCCCTAAACGATCCCAGTTGTTCGATGAAAAAGGTGGCTTCTTTGATAAGGAGTGATGATGTGGAAAAGCGAGCAGTCCCCACCCCTTCAGCACGGAACCCCAACGGACGGGTGTCTTGTCATAATACAGCCGTAGTACAACTTAATGATCTATTGGCGCGGCGCAGTCGGGGATGTAGCATAATTCTCGACACGCTTCCTGTCGCGTGGATCGACCATTCGATACGTCCTCCTGCCATTGAACGGGATTACAGGCGTACATTGCTAATTTTTCTCATGCCCACTGTCAGCCTGTTATCTCGGGATGATCCGGCTTCCATTCAGGCCACGACATCCTGTCAGTCCATAAAGAACGTGGGATTTTGCCTATTCTTATCCTCATAAAATTGAACACAAGAGATAAGGATAACTGACGACTTTCACGGAGACTAGACTTTCGTTCAAAGTCAAAAAGGCGTATCCCATATCTTGCTGAAATTCGTATTTGGACGCTTTGAAGCAGACCTAGGCAAGTTTTATTTGAAATGAAACTAATAAATAACTATTTGAAATTTTTTGGATACTTTTTATTTCAAATATAGTTGAAGAAATAATCTTCCAAATAATACGCAACAAAAATCATTTATTTTAAGAAATCTTTACAACAATTTGCTTTAAGAAAAATTCTTTCTTCAAAAACTTCTGTAAGAGATTTCTGTCTGAACTCATCTAATATTGTCGCGAAACAAATAATCATTACACTGGTGCCGGCCACAGACGACGAGTGTTATACTTTAAAAATAGTTAAAAAATGTTGTTCTTGAAATTGAAATTATTGAATTACGCGTCTTATTATATTACAGATTAGTGGTATGCTAGGCAGCCATTTACTGAAAGAATATGTAATACTTTCTGTTCCTGTTTCGTTTTTCTTGTATGTGCGCCACGTGCAATATATATACAAACTTATTTCTTTAATTTGCTCATACATTCTTTCATAGTTATGTATTTTTCATTTCTTCTAGAAATTGTAATTTCATTTCTTTTTAATTAATACATATGTCGAATTCGAAGAGTCAAATTGGGCGTCTTTATTTTTGCTCATCGTTTGCTTAATAGATTTACAGAGCACAATGATCCGTTATGGTGGGTTTACACACTCAAGCTATTTGCACAAGCCATCTTGCGCAAGCCAATTTGTGTAAATGAACTGAATGAAATATTGCCGTTCGGTCGAAATCTCCACCTGGAGTAGGATATGCTCTTTACTCCAAAAATTATGAAAGACATTACAAATTACCATACAACCTTAGTATCTTCTCAGTAGAACTCTTCGCATTAGAAAAAGCTTATGAATATATTACCTCTACAGTGGAAAGAATGAGTGAGTCGCTGAATATTAAAAACTTTGTTTATTGATAATTCTGGGATCGTCGGATTCTGTGTTGGTCATGAATTTTAGAACACTTAATGAGTCGCTGAATATTAAAAACTTTAAGTGTTCTAAAATCCATGACCAACACAGAATCCGACGATCCCAGAATTATCAACATCCAGCATCTATACAATAGTACTACTCAGGAAGGTAAAACGGTGGTGGCAGTCTGGATCCCTTCGCACAAAGGTATACAAGGAAATGAAGAAGCCGAACAACTAGCAAAAATAGGTACCATAGCTCATATTTCAAGGGAAAAACTTGTCATACCCTTAGAAGAGGCAAAAATATATATGGAACACTTAAGTACGTCAAGAATGGAACACTTACATGAAAGTAGTGCGACATGTAATCCGCCAATATGTAATCTATGCAACGAGGTTTTAACGGTTGAACACATGCAAAAATGCGACAAAGTCTCTGAAATAAGGAAAGCGTTTAATATAGGAACGGTATTAGAACAATCAGTAGGTAATCCAGAGAAGGTAGAACAAACATTAAGATTTTTGAAAGAAATTGGAATATACGAGGATATACTATGAGTAAAATTAACTTGTAAATTATGTGTTAGTCGCTAATGACCTAAGGGTTGATACGACTATTAATAAATAAAAAAAAAAAATATTGCCGTTCACAGGTTCAGTTCGCTTTGCACAATTGTGAAGTGAGAAACCCCGAAAATTGTAGTTTATTGTGTCCGAAATGGAAAATCTGATCAAATGCGCGTGCCTGAGATTGTAACAGAGGCTTGAACATCGTTTACACGCACTAATCTCAAGCCCATCTCAAGCCGATTTTCTGTCAGGACAGATTTCACTCAAGCCAAATTTTTTGGCTTGCCCAAACTTCATGCCTGCATTCACACACAGCGATTTACTTGTGCAAACCGGTTTGTGGAAGCCGGTGTGCAAATAGCTAGAGGAGGACTTTTTTCGTCTAAAAACAAAAGTGCCGGTCCTCCTCACTTCGACGTTTCATTTTCATCAAAAATTAATTTTAAAATAAATTATTTTTATTTGGTGCTTTTATGTCTTCACTGTAAGCGCGCGAAAGCTACTTTTCATCCATTGACTTGTACCTAGCTGCTAACTTTAAATAGTAGTAACACCGATAATCTTTAAAAAATTTTTAAATTCTCGAGTTACGTTCAAATATCACTAAAGACTACAACGTATCCAAATTTCGTCTAAATTCGAAATGTTCCTCCAAAAGGTCCTCGATTTCATGTAGAATGGTCTCTAACGCACATGTGCATATGCATTTTAACCAACAATAAAATATTAAAGAATCGCAGTCTAGCTTATCACACTTTATTCTGTAACTCTATAAATCTTTCAAGACTTGTCGAGATATTTAGAAACATTCTGTATTTAATAGTATTTAAAAATTGATTCGAATAATTAAAGAATAAATAATTTTAAATACAAATTTTTCAAAAATTGTAAGTTGTACGGTTGTTCGGAGGGATTCGATTGGTAGAATCGACTTTCTTCCTCATCCAGAGTTACCTACTCACATTCAATATCTCCTTAATTCTAGTTCTCGAAAGGGGCCCCAACATTTCATTTCCTTCAGATATATCCTCTATTCAGTGTAACCCTGCAGCCGATAAATCACATTTTAACTAGCCCGATAACCTGTTCACCGGAGCTCATCCTCGCCAGCATCGATTCCCGATTATCGGCAGGAATTTCATTCCAAATGAATCACGTGTCTTCGATTCGAAAACCGAACTCAGACTGGTTCTGCGTGTAATAACGAGAGCTGGGAAATAATTGCGGTACAAGTACGTGCTCGCGCCGGGCACAGTTTAATTCTGAGCGATATTATAATTAAGTGGTTCGAGCGTAATGGCCGGCGTCACGTAAACCGCTAACACGGGTCCCGGTGCTCATCATGCTGCTTTGTTCAAACAATCAGCGACCCGATGGCGGCCGTCACGCGAACGCGAACGTTTCGCCGCGGTGAAACTGGCCTTCCTGTCTTCGAATCATTCCATCCTGAATCGCGCACTTGAAACATTTATTACTGTCCCCACGAAGCCGATCCAGACAAGGTTTAAATTTACGGTTATGTGGACACGGTTTGCATTGTTGCGAAAGGCTTCTTAACTCTCTTAGTTAGAAGACCCGAGAAGTTAAACATGAGTGAGAGATATCGTGTTAAGGGATCTTTTTGGTGTGACGACCGCAAGTTTAATTATACTTTAGGAATTGTTTTCGAAGACAACAAAATAAAGAATGATACCAGTATTTTGTCTACGAATATTACTATTCAGAAAGAGTATAAAATAAGTATTTCAACATTAAAATAACTCCTGTCCATGTTGGTATCTTCATGGTTGTCAAGATATTTTGAAAACGGTTTATCTCAGACAAAAAATTCAAATGGTTTATTAAAATATAATATATGATCGTGGTTATGGTGTGAAAATGGCACTCGTTTAAACAGAAGTATCCAAAGAATCACTTTAATCGACCATTTTACGTTCGAAAAAAAATACATATATATATATTGGTGTGAAGAAGAATATACATATTTCAATTTCAAAAGGATTGGTTAGAATAGTTGACAAACAGATGAGAAAATAATGTTTCGAAGAAAACGCATTTAATCTTTTAAACCAGCTTGATTTCACTTTGAGATCTATCACTTTAGCTCGACCGTGAAAGCCGAAATAACCTCCGAGTAACCTTTTCCAATTTTACCAGTGAATAAAAGATTAATTTTTTTTACATTTTTACAATTCTCGAAAGGCGTATGTGATATACAGGGTGTCCCAGAACTCCTGTAAGAACCGGAAATAGAGGGTAGCTGACACGATTCTGAACAACAATTTCCTTTGCAAAAACGTCAGTGGGGATTTTATTTTTCAATTATTAACGAAAAACATCAACCAATCACAGCGCATGCTCTATTTTCAACTATGTATATCAAACAAGTTAATTTGTACAACGATATATCGTTATTTGACACAAGAAGGGTTAATTTAACCATCACCGACCAGAGTAATCAGATTAGGGACTCCGATACCAGTTACAGCCAAGCCTCATATAACGGAGCTGGTAAGTTTGTTACTTATGTAAGTAACGTGCATAAAGAATAATGGCATTATGCAGTAAAACATTATTTTTATTTAAACCAAATAATTAAAGCTGAGAAAATATAAAAAGTGACATAGTATAAAATTATAAACAAAGATAATTTTCAGCTATGAACACTTTGAATGATAAAAAAATTGGACACCTCACAGAATAGATACGCATTATATTATATGCAGTCAATCCTATTAGCATTCGTACCCTCTACATCTATTGAAGAAAGTCTAAATGATAGGTTTGATATTTTCAAATAAATGTTACATTACAAGTATATTATATTACATTTGAATATATAATAATATATGTATATTATAATAAAATATTATAAGTTCATATATTATATTATATTTAAACGACAGACTTTTTACATTAAAAGGATTCTTTTTTCTCTTCTGTGGCTTTTTTATTTCCAATTCGTAAACAGTTTTTATTACATGGTAATGGTTATCGAAACACATTCATTCAAATTCGTGTAACTCTTGCAATTTCTTGAATTCGGATTTGATATTTGAGAAATATATTACTATGATATTCAAATTTGAGAATGTACAGTAAACAAAAGATCGATTTTTTTACTAAAAAAATGATTGTCCCCCGAAAAATGACGCTGAGATTAAGACTCTGAGATGGTCATTGTAAGTCACTTTTTCTTAAATAAGGGAACTTTCTACATATATAATTAACGTACAATACAACTTACATATAAATTAAATTATAATTCTGAAATATTAAAAGTTCTTCTTATCTCCAATCTTTTTGTTTAAAGTATTTTCCTTTTATATACTATATTTGATAAGTTCTTTTTACACGATGATGTAATATTTACTGATTCTGGATATAACTCTAAAACAAAGAGCCGAAACGTCAATAAATCAAATTATCATAATTTCAATTATACACAGAAAAGCTTCCTTATGAATATTAATATTCTTATATTCATTTACGATATATACTCTGCAATGGTTGTGTATAGAGTTCTATGTAAAAGTCTTAGGCCACCATGTTAAACTTGCATTACATTGAAATAAATCTATGTTAATGGAATAAATAAGATATATTAAATATTTGTTATTGCTCTTTATACAGTATACTGGTGACTACATATACGAATAATAGAATCGTAAAAAATTATTTAATGGATTTAGAGGAAAATGAAAGATTAAAAGTTATGATTTGGCCACCTGAAAGTCCCGATTTAATTATGTAGTATTGAACATGTTTGGGATTATTCGAACAGACCTCGACAAAAAAAGGAAGCCTAAAGATGCAGACGAAGTATTAGAGAAAAAATCATATGAAAGTTGTACAAGAAGAATCGACATTGTCACAAAGATAAATGGAATAGTAAATATTAAAATCTCCCTTGAATTTATACTCTACAATAATATTACCAAAATAAAATATACATATAACCTAATTAAAATTTGTAATCTTTTTCGTTTGGTGTATTCTTTTAATGTATCATAAATGGCCTAAGACTTTTGTACAGTACTATACGTTTAATATAGTAGCATTCGCCGGAAATGTATAAATGAAATTTCACCAACAAAATGAAAGAGCTCTCACCTGACACGCTCTAATGAACATATAATTCTGAAATGTCACTCGAATTAACATACGTCAATCTGAATTAGACTTAGCACTCCGATGAGTTGAGTACTCCGTGCAACCAACCGACGAACCGCAACCGGAAATTGGCTGCCCGGTTATCAAAGTTTGCGGCTTGCGTGTCTACCGAGCTACGAAGAGAGGTAACTAGGGGGTGGTATACCGAATGGGGTGAGATATCCATTAATAAGCGAGTGAGAGCTCGGCGCTTCGGTAGATTGGGGTGCCAGGGAAGGTAAATATTAATTTGCTCAAGCGAGCGTCACGATCGACTCGCGGCCATGAACAGGTGAACCTTGTTTCGTGCGTTCAAATAATTATGGTTCTTACGTGTAAAGCTAAGAGTGGATGAGTCGGTCGGTTTTTTCGTCGTTTTATAAACCTGTTCCAGCCATGAAAATTATTCAAGTTGTAATAAGCAATTTTGCAATTTTATTCTAAATATAGTTTATTTCAGATACTATTAACAAATTTGATACGATTAATGATTAATTTGAACGCTACATTTAAGCATCGGGTAATTAATTTTTGCCAAAATTACAAGATTGATGTTTTTCATCGATAAGTTTTAAGCTTTTATTCGAAAAAAGAATTATACGAGTATACGTGGCTGAATAATTATTAGACTGCGGATTTTTATGTAAATTCATACAGTAAAGGAATTTAAGTTGAAATAAAAGTTCGTCCTATTTTCTAACTTATGTAATATGTATTTATGTATTTATTTATGGATATTTTCATAAATTTTCCTATATTTTCATTTGCCATAAATGCATAATTTGCATACTAGTAATTACATATGATCTTTAATTTTATATGCATAAATATCTATATTTTCCATATCACCCTAATTTGTTGATTCACTGAATACATCTTACTTATATACAATGCAAATCTAAGAACGCGTTTTAAAAAACCCATAATTAGAGAATTATCAAACTCTATACATAGTAACACTTGCGTTGTACGATACTCTTAAATTTGTTAATTTATAAATTGTCAGCTTCGGTCAACTAGGAGATTCAAAATTGAAAGTGTGAATTCGTCGCATATAATTTAATATAATTAAAAACAACATTTCATGTATCTATACGATTTCTCTCATTTATGCAATGTGAATTATTGATAAATCCGTTAAGTTATATTATTTATGACATTACTTTAAGTGTTTTCATATATTAAATACTATATACTTGCCAACTTGTAATTAACAGTGAAAGTTGTTTAGTTTTTCAATGGTTTCGTTAGCCTCAGGCCGATGTATCCACAGAACTAACCCTGATTTGTTTGTAAATTATGGATACACCGGTCTGACACTAACGAACGCACTACAAAACTAAGCTAATTTAACTCTTAACTCTAAATCGCAATTACGCAGTTACACCCTTTTGACACTAAACCACCGTTATTTAACTATATAGAAGTTGTATACAAATGATTACACGTTGGTTTGTTTAAACAGACTAATTACTTGCTTCGCATTTAAATAAATTCCTCCTAAAATAGCTTTACAAGTAATTCCCGATATTTGAGAGCGAATGCTGTTAAATTGTGATATACTGGAATGGAACGAAAATGTTAGTTTCCAGTTCTACGTATTGTATTTAACTCCCATAGTGGAATATAATTCATTATTTTATTTACTTCGCTTTACTAAACAGAAAATTTATTTTAAAACCACTAATTTTGCGTTTGTGTAGAGTAAACTGCATAATATTTTTAACGTCCCTATGTGTAATATACATAAGTATACATAAGTATATACATAATACATCGTTTTCAGAATTATTTTTGACTTTATTAAAATTAATTCCAAATTTGAATTTGGAGCAGTCCCCCAACATTTTGTATAACTATGTACCTAATTAAATAAATAGATTATAAAAGCTCCGGTAATAATCTACAAATATGAAATCATTCTATCAGAATAAGCTATTCTAAAAATGACCATAAAAAGATGTTTGAAAATGTAAGTCGTTTGTAACGATTATACACTATTATGTTTGCAATACTAGATTCGTTAAAA